GAAATCTTTCTTTTTCGTTCTAGTGGATTTGGGCTTGGCCATTATTTGATGAAAGGCTACCACCTGGTGAATGTCGATTACCATTTTCTTCTAAAGCTACTGGTAAGAAATAGAATATCAATAAAACTTAAAAAAAAAGTATTTCGTATTATTTATAGTGGCAATACCAACAGCGATTGCGGCTTTTTATTTACCAGTAACATTAATGTGTTTACTTTATTTTCGTATCTATCGTGAAACAGTAAAACGTCGTAAAGAATTACATCTTTTACAAGCTCAACATCATAATTCATTATCTCAAATAATAACAGCAACACGTTCGAATTCGAATAGCCGTTTAACAAAAAATTTAAGTACAATAGGAACAACATCAGTTCAGGAACAAGATGAAAGTATATCAACAGATTCAAATAGATCACATGGAAAAACGCCATCAAATCAAAATTCTATTAATAAAAAACCCATACTACCCAATACTAAAAAACAAAATAAACTCATTCATACGTTTCATGGTTATTGTTGGAAGAGGTAATTGTTTTCAGTTTATTTATCTGCATATATGATTGATTATATATTAGAATATTATAAATATGCTTCGTAGTGTAATATGTATATGACATGTGTGTGTGTGTGCATTAGAGAGGAAATGATAAGACAATATAAATGGACACCATTTCAAGCGATCGCTCGGAAAGATATAGTTTCTATCCAAACTGGCGTATATTAATATTCGCATATGGAAACAAAAGAAAATGAGATGTCTGTTACGGCTGTTATTTACAGTGAAGTATATTAATAGTACCTTCGGCTTTTTTTGGTCATTACTAGTCTTTAAAAAGAGTAAAGCTGATTCGCCTGAAGCTTTTACAATAGACGGAATACCCTTAAATAAACAGACGTGTGTTTCTTCAGGAAAAAAACATGTCAACAAAAGTTTTGCGGCTTTTCCAGGAAAATCTTTGTTTTTCATAGGACTCAATTGGATCTACTTATGATCCGTCTCTAATTTTGCAGCATCAGGTTGAATTTCTTAGAATTAATCTCGAGAAGTATAATCGACTGTATTCATTTTTGACCTTTCTATTCGAATTTTGTTAAATTTTGAATGCAAACATCTAAGTTTTGGATTCGAACTTTTTCGTATTTCTCTCATTGTAAAAAAAAATGAAGAAGGCAAGATTTTCAACAAATTTTATAATTATATCTAAGATATACTCTAAGGTACCTTGAAAATAAATTTTCAACTCGATCGAACTAAGTTAGAAAGAGTTTATAAGTGGGTCCGATGTGTTCCTATAGAATAACCACGATTCTCAAAAACAAACCGCAAAAAAGATTCTTAAAAATTAATTTCCTCGAGCAAATGTCTTCTTATTTTAGGTACTCTATGTATGAAAAAAATTTTCAACAGATTTGTTATACCCTCTTTGAGAACTAGAAATGGTCAAAAAAAGGAAGAGGTGGGGGCAACCTTCATTGATAGGTTATAAATTATTTACTTTCTAATGACAAATGATGTAATTTATTACGGGATGGTTTTTTCGATTATAGTAGAATATTTTATTAATTATTCATCTTTATATAAGGCATTACAATAAAACAAATTCAAAACAAAATAACAATGAAGATGATGAATGTTCAAGTGAAATTCAATGTGTAATATCTCCAACTATCGATGAAAATTTAACTAATCCATTTCCGTTAACAAATAATGGTGACATAGGTCGTATTATTACTCATTCAAGTCCTACTTGTGAATCATGCGAAACAACAAAAGCAAATTCTGCTCATGATCCATGGGTGCGTCGAAGTAAAGATCCACTATCAAATGAATGTCTTTATAATGACGCACAACAAAAATCTATACAATCCGATATTCATCCATATTGCCGTTCAATATCATCGACATTCGATGATTGTCCTATTCAACATCAACAGAATCGTCAACCATTCATTAGTACTATTGATAAGGATATTGAATATGTTGAATCAAGATTACGTGGTCAAACTACAATTTCACTTCCAACAACACATTCAACAAATTATACGGAAGCTATTAGTTGGCGACGACCACCAACTCGTAATTATACAGGTATTCTATCATCTTCGAATCAACAACAACAAACTCCGAAAATGAAGAACCCACATTATTCAAATATACATAATAAACAACAAATTAATGGAACCATTCGATCTACACAATCGACAATGACAAGTCAAAAATGTGAAAGTGTCAAAACAGTTAAACGACGTTTAGAAAAAATGAAAGACCAAAAAGCTGCTAAAACATTAAGGTTGTATATTCAATTTCTTTCGTCAAAATCTAATAGGTTTTTTTTCCTATTTGTAGTGCTATTCTCATTGCTTTTATTGTAACATGGCTTCCTTATAATACAAATATTATTATATCAACCATAAAACCAGATATTTTTAACCATGGATTTCCTATGTATTGGGAACGCTTTGGTTATATGTTATGTTATATTAATTCAACAATAAAGTAAATAATTTTGAAGCAATGGTTTTTTTTTCTGTTCAAATTTTATTTAATTTGATTTAGTCCAATGCTTTATGCTCTATGTAATGGTACGTTTCGACGAACATTTGTTCGTATACTTCGTTGTCAATGTCATCGACGTCACACGCCAATACATTTACAAAAACTTTACCGTTTTCAAATAAAAAAAGATGTTGTTAACAATAATTTTTAATTAAATATTTCTCTTTGTTTTTATTGTTTGCAGTTGTTCATTTTCATGTATATAATACCAAATGGATTAAAAAAAAGAAGAAATTTTAAATACAATGATTAGACTCATGAATGGATACTAAATTTAATAGTCTAAAAGTGACAATTAATTCTATGAATATATTTGTTTTAGCGACAGATAAAGTTAAGTTTTAGAAAAGAAGAATAATTTCATTATCTAAATAGCTAAAAATTAAAAGTAATTATAAGATTACGCTCAATATCGTTTTCATCATTTTTTATATTATAGGAAGGTCTTTCAAAAAGCTCCGAGACTGATTTTATTTAAAAACAACGAAAAGAGCTACGGTTTTGGGATTGTTGTCTATTTATACTCCATTCAATTCTTAATCTATTGACATCGTGAACTAAATTTGATTCAACATTTGTGTACTACAATAACAGTTTTTCCAGGTCTGCTCAACCAGACTGGCACAAACTCAAAAAGTTGAACATCGTTCAGCAATAAAATCATGTGATAATTATCGAGAAATTAGTGTCGATATATTACTCGTAGATTTTAGGACAGTATATTAACGATAATCGAGTGTCAAAGAAACCTATACATCATATTAGGAATGCGAAGAAATACAGAGAAGTCGACAAAAAAAGAAGATATTGATCAAACTGTCACTCAACCTGAATTTGACACCAAAGCAATAAACTAGGTCAATTGACATATTTATACACACCAGTTTTTCGCCAGTAAATTCTTTAATTGAACCATCCGGTTCGATCCGGTTGAAAACAATTGGACGAGTTCCAAGCCTAAGTGATAGAGGTTATTTTATACAGAAAAAAAATAGTTGTCTTTGAATAGTTAATGTTCCAATCTGTTGAACTTGATCTGTAAAAAGATGATCAAAATAATTATGATTTTATCGATTCTCTTGCGTTCGCTTGATTCAATAATTACATTATTCATGATCTAAATGTATATATATATCAGCTTATTTTACTCACAATACAACTATCATTCCCGATTGTAGTCAGTGAGTTTGATTGTTGCATTATCGTAACGCTTTCACATTTAAACAAGCTTCATCTATATAACGAAAGATTTCTCTGTGATGTTTGAGATTCTGATTTAAACACTTTTCCTCCAGTTAATTATATTGATGAACAGTGCGTTCTGTGAAAATATTAAGGATACCGAATAGACGCCGTCGCGTAAGATCCGAACTCGATCAGATTTCGATTAGAGAAATATTGGACTCAAAAAGACTTAGACTAATAATAAGAGCCAACTATAATATGACTATTATAAGAAAACTGCTAGATTGTCTGGGATATGCATAGTGTTCATCGAGATGATCTCAGATCCGAATTTTCCTTCGGTTGGATCCGGAACCAACTCAATGGATTACACTCAAAAAGTAACGCCCATCTATGATTTAACTGTTGTAAAATCATGATCCAGATTGCTTGAGAAATGCATCGGATGTATTAACCCCAAAATACAAATAACTCATAATAAGTATCTTGTATTTTTGGAGCAATTCGAGGATTCATTTGAAGTTTTAGTTCGAGTATAAAACATGTTGAATTCAATAGATTCTAGTGTCAAATTGCAATAAGATGTTCCAAAAATGTCATTTAAACACATACTATATCATTACATGCAACTTATGCTAATAGTTGCTTATTCTTATATCGTATTTTAGTCATTCGACTTCAAATATAGTTGCAATGATCATTGAAGATAATGAATTAATCGGATATTAAACCCATCAGTTTATTTAACACGCTTAAATATGATAATAAAAAAAAAACTTCTTTTAATTAAATAACAAGAAAAAGGACAAAAAATATTAAAAAAATGTTTCGCATGACAAATTTGTTAGATGAATTTTTTTTCGAAATAGAATAGAAATATTCATTTTAACATTCACGAAAACCACGCCTTATTAGGTTTAGTGTTTTTCGATCATTAAAACAAAAAATAAAATGAATATATTCAATTCATAATTTCGAAAGAAAAAAAAACATTTAACAAATATGAAAAACGAATCATTAATTTAACAATATAATGAGCAAGATGAATTTAATGAACCAAATTTTCTTCAAGGAATGCTGTTAATGTATCTGTATCCCACTTTTCAATACCCATTGATTCAATTTGTTCATCTCGTTCATTAAATAGATTAAGTACTGGATCGGCACCACGGACATATTGAACACTGAACGCGGGAAACCGAGATGGGCGATCGCTTTTAACGAACGCCGAGATTTGGGCATAGCGCCCTAATTTTCATGAACATACTTGAAGAACAGCTCGATGATATTTCTAAGAAATAAAGAAAACAACGTCAAACTTTTATTTATATTAAATATGTTTTCATACAGCTTTTGCTTCTGCTTCATTTTGTTCATGATCATCATTTACACAACATTGTCGGCATGAATCTTCTAATTCACCCAATTTAAATTGTTTCAAATCATTACAACTTGAACACATTAAATGACTTGATGCATAGCCAAGCTTAGAACATTGATTCAATGATGAAGAATCGGACGCTGCCAGCATCTATGAATATTTCATTGAAATAGAAAAATTAAATTAAGACAGACATAGATGTGTATATACATACAATGCATGCAAAAAAGTGGCTTAAAAAAGCCACGAAAATATCCGTCGTACGCATATCACAATCTGCAAAAGAAAACATATTCAATAAATATAGACACATTTGGCCAATTCAGATGAAAATCTTAACTATTCTCATTTTTAAACAGCAATGAGTCTGACTGCTTCTTGAAGAACTTTTCAGAGGAACAATGTAGAAACCTAAGATTTTTACCTGCAAGAGATCAGACTCCAGGTCATATTATATATGCTGATATCTGTTTAGTCCACAGCTGGCCAATTAGGTGAATTCTCTACGAAGATTTCGATAAAAGATGTGTTGAAGCTATTTCACTTTGAATTTTGACTTGGAATATGACTAATTGATAAGAAAAGTTCTTCCTTTTCGATTGACACAAGCCTAAAATTCCTAGTATGTTCCGTTCCAACGCTAGAAGGGTTTTCGCAAGACCTTCGATTTCAGCAAATTGGTCCTAAGAGACTCCAAAAGAGCTCAAAATAGAAGCAATTCATCATGTTGCGTGGAATGGTGATGTGTGTTTCAAGTTTCAAAGTGACTTGGGATCACATTTTCAAGATTATTCAAATTTCGCTTTTTCTATTGTGTAAGAGACATTTTGGAAATTTCAAAAATACTAGAAACAAACATCATCATTCTATTGAGTTCTTCTGAAGTCTTCCAAGGTCAATCTTCTGAAATCGAAGGTCTTGGACAACAACTTGTCACTCTGAAATGAAACATGTTAGAAAATTAGAGTTTCTGTAGATCGAAAACAAAGAACTTTTCCTATCAATTAGTTATATTCCAAATCTAAATCCAATGTGAAATGATTTCAACATATCTTTTTCAAAGTTTCCGCAGAGAAATAATCTGATCGATCCGTTGTTGATCAATCAGACATCGACATACATGAATAGTGAAAACTTCAAGTCTCTATATTGTTTCTATGAAAATATTATTCACAAAATTACTTAGACACTTAGTTTTTTGAAAACGATATTACTTAAGGTTGATTCTTATTCGAGCATGTATTGTTGGAGTAATCAAGCAAAAGCTTGTTTTTTGATTATCTGAATGGATATATTAAGTCACGTACAACTTTCAAGAGCAATAACAACAGTCAAACTACATTCACTAACGAAATAACATAGAAAAACGATCCCACATTCAGAAAAGATATTTAAAAAATGAATTGAATCAGTGGAGAAATCACTATGGTACAAGAAATAATCTATGCTTATCATTTGATACACATGCGAACTTAAAGAACCAAGAAAACAGCACAAAACAGTTTTAAAAAAATTACATGTACTTTGGCCTTATATTGACATGATTGAGATTGAAAGGTATAAAAACCTTTTCGTTAACGAATTTGCAAACATTTACTTGAATTCAAGGACTTTTCTTAACGCATCACACCAACCTACTAACATTTTCTCGTTCTTCGTTCTGCCAATCAACGTTTTTATACTCAGAATAAACACAAAACTACAGCTGTTATTTTATAAAACATACAAGTAAGTTAAACAACATGTGCTACGCGTTCCTGCCATGAAAGAAAAAAAAAAGCATTAAATTTATTTTTAATAACTACATCATAACAAACTTCCTGAAAATGTAATATTATTTCATGATTAGCAAAGTGCCTTTGTAGAAGAAAATGATGTAGTTGTTGTTATTAAGACTCGACTTTTTTATTTTCCTACAAAATAGTCTCTTTTTTTCTGTAATGTTAAATAACATTCATTATTGTTCAGAACGTGTTTCACACAAACAGTGGAAAATAAAAATTTTCTAAAATAACTTTTTCTTGAATTGTGTTTTTTAAAGTTACGATGCTACCTTTCACCAATTGATAGACGTAATTAATTCTTCGAAAATTAAATAGTCCAAGAGTTAAATCTGAACTATTCAATATTCATTGATTGATATGACGTTGTAAATTGTTTCACTGAAATGTTTAATTCGACACCAGAACTCATTTTTTATCAAAGGACATTATGTCACACCCAATGAATTCAGAATGTTATTTTGATAGAGCGGTAAACAACGTCATATCCATCATTTGATAAAATAACGATACTAGTGGTTTCCATTTCTAAGTGTTAAAAGCAAATTTTTTTCGAGTTTTGCTATAATTTCAAAGTGTTCTTTGTCAAATCCTATACAAATAATGGCTCTTTACTATTAGTTAGTACTTTTATTAAACTTAACTTTCAAAATCCCTAATAGAAAAACTTGCGTTGCAATTATTCTTTGTATATAAAATTTTACTAGTAACAATTTGTAAAAGTGCTGAGGTATGGGTCATGAATTTCTAACAAAGTCAGTTTTCGATCGTTTTAATTGAAAAAAAATCCCAATGCCTAAAAAGAAAGTTTGTTTTGTATTTTTCTCATAATCACTGTTTGAATAAAAAAAGTGAAGTTTTTCGCCACACGATGTGTTCCAGCGAAGTCAATTTTTTAAAGAATTTGTACCAAAAATGGGATATATTTTTTTTTCTTCGAAATCATGTTCCCTCTCCTGAATTCTAAAAACGATATTTTTGAAAGAAAAAAAAGCATGCAGCTCAGAAATATGAAGTATATGCAATGATGATCTAAAGTTCAAATTAAAATCTTGGACTATTTCATTTTTAAAGAGTTGACTATGTCTATTGATTGGTGAAAGATAACATTAAAAGGTACTATTAATAAACAACCGAAATGTTCACTTAAAAAGAATAACTTAAGGATAAGTTATTTTTCAAAAAATCTTTTCTTCGAAACAGGCCCTGAAAGATGATGTCTATTGAATATCTGACTAAAAAATATACTATTTTGTAGAGAATCAAAAGAGCAAAATTTTGAAAAAAAAGTCGAGTCTGTGTTCACGAATATTTAGGAAGATATCATTTAACTTCAGAGAGATCCATTTGAAATTTGTCCCTCAGTTTATTTTTATTTTCTTAAAAACTATTGAAAATAAAATTACAATGATGATTATATCATTGTAAAACTAAATTATAAATTCATTCTTTCTAAATCTATCGAAATAATTATTAAAGCCATTTTTTTTAGTATTTTCATCACATGTTCTATTCAATGTGAATAGACATAACTTCGCAGAACACAATAATAGACAAAAATATCTGCATATAAATATAATACAATACAAACTTTGAATGCGTTCGCCTACAAAAAAGGATACTAATAATACATCGATTGAAAATAAGAAAAAAAACAAGGAGTAAGTGATGCTTTTATAGCTTGATTGTAATAGCATTCTTTTTTTGGCCTTAAAATGCACGCGTATGTTTATGTGTCGCTCTCCTCTTTTCTCCTTTCTATCCAATCAAATAATACTTCTGACGTTTCTAGTTTGAGATTGGTTAAAAGTTTCAGCCTTTCATATGTAGATGAATCTTCTGTCAAACATGAATCATTTGTAATTGATATAATCATCTAAAGAAACAAAAAAGAATGGCGTGGCGTGAAGCTTTGAAAAAACCAGTAGCTAAACCAACAGCACCAAAACCAAAATTTAATACTCAAGCTGATGATTGGGAAACCGACATTAATTATGAAGTATGGTTTTTTTTTTCATTTATTTCTAATTAAGAAAAAAAAGACACATTCAATTTGTTTTTTTTCAACCAGAATCAAACAGATGAAAAATCTCAACGTTATGGTTCAACAAGTGTACCTGGTTCTGGTCGAGTAGATCATGTTGATTTTAAATCTCTTCAAGAAAAAGTTAAAACAGCTGATAATACGGTTAAACAAATATATCAAGATAAAAATCCTAATCGTGGTTATGGAGGAAAATATGGAACAGATCGAGTTATGGATAAAGTAAATTCTATTTTATATTATAAAATTGTTTATGAATATTGTTTGAGTTTAGTCTGCAGCTGATTATTCATACAAAGCTGATGTTTCAAAACATTCCTCACAAACAGGTAAGAAACAAGAAAATATTTTTATTAAAATTTAGTAAATATTTAACGGAAAAATTCAATCAATTTTTGATCTTATTTGATTTTATATTAACGAAGGAAATACACCAAGTGACTTCCGTCGTTTCCGCTTTATAGGATTCACAGGCAAGGTTCAATGAGAATAACAAAAACCTAAAAGGTTCGTCCTCATTGCGCTTTGACACCAAATTATGATCTAAAATTTTGCTTATAAATAGGTCGAATTACTTTTAGAATATCTTGAAAGTTTCAACCGATAAGAATGTTCAAGTGAACTTGATTTTGGTGAGAAAATGGTTGTTTGGAAATTCAATATATTGACGAGGAAATATTCTTTTCAGCGCAAACTTTAAGATATTCTAAGAGGCAGTAAGTCTATTTATAGGGAAAATTTCGAATCGAAACTCCAGTAAATCGGTCATAACTCAACGACGAACCCTATTAGACTTTTGCTAGTCTCACCGAATTGTGCCTGTGGATACAATATGAGTGCTAACGGCCGATGTTAGTTGGAATAGTCTTTCGTGAGTTGTTTAGTTTAGAATATATTCACTAGGTGATTTGTTTTAACATAGCTATATATTGCTCTGCTTGTTATAATACGAAACCTTTATTGAAGAAATTTATTTTTGTAATCAGATCATTTGTTATTGTATGAAATCGAATTAAATGTAAAGATGATCTTTTATGATTTTGTAGTATGTCTGTGATATTTATTTTTTTAATAATCTATTTTATTGATTTGAACTTAAATTGTCGAGTATGCTCGATAGTTATATGCTATTAGACTTGCTTATTCAATAAATTCTTGTATAAATTTTGAGTGAAGTAGAATATAAATTGAAGTATTAAATCGACAAATCAACTGCACTAATGAATTGATTCATTTGATCTTTGAAATGTTTGAACAAAAAAAATCTCATTTTGTAACATAATTAATGATGAGACAGTGATTATAAAGTTTGTTTACCAATTCTTATCCATATGTTAACAAACAGGAGAGACATCAAGAGCTATTATTAATTATCTTCTGTATACTCTTATGTACATTGTCTAGATAATCTCATGAAATAACTAAATGAATACATTAAAATTTCTTGTTTTTTCTATTCTTACACAGTTCGTCAAGTGAACAATTATCCTAAATATAGAATCTTTCTAATTTCAGTCACAAAAATAACTTTTCTATTATTATTTTAATAAATATAGCTTTGGCAACAACAATAGTGGTAAGAATATTTTCATACTTTAATTTAAAGAAAATGGTTGAATAGGCCAGTTGATTAATAAGATATTGTAGGAAAACTTGATTTGGAATAAATTCATCGATATAGATCACAATTAATTTCATACTTATTGATAATCACTATTAAAACCATATAAATTTGACATATCTGGAATAATCGATTGACGTATATTTGATTATCATTACTTTACAAATAAAGATAAAGTAAAACAAAAAATTCAGACATCCTTGTAGACTAATCAAATTTTGTAACATAATATAAATAGCAATAAATTCATAAAATGTCAAAATAACTTGTATGATCTTTATCAAATATTTAAAATACTATGATCTGCTATCATATTATTTGTTCGATAAAATTCGTAGAATGATAATTTTAATATATCTTGATATAGTAGAAAATCTATTTAATGTTTGTATCAACGTAAATTTCGTATTTTTTTGATGACAATAATCTTATAAAACACATTGAAAATGTTTTTAAATATTTTCGAGTTGTTTTAGAAAAATATTTACTACATTTGATATAAAATCAACTTTTATTCTACGATTCTTTTCGATTGTTACTCATATTACTTTCATATGACTAAAAAGAAAAAAACATCATTTAATTTTTTTAATATTGTGACACTTTCACTATTTGTATTCGTTTGTATTAATGAAAAACAAAGATTGAACATTATTATCTGCATAGTCTATGACTTATTTCTTTTTATGTTGATAATTATTCATCTGTATATATTTATTTATCGTAGATTGTAAAAAAGGATTTGGTGGTGTATATGGAGTTGATGAACATGCAAAAGATAAATCTGCCGTTGGTTTCGATTATAAAGGAGAAGTTGAAAAACATCCATCACAAACAGGTTTAACAGCTTTCATTTGAATGAAAGATGAATAAAGCATTTTCTTTTTCTCACTTTCAGATTTTTCAAAAGGCTTCGGTGGTAAATATGGCACTGATCAAAATGCACAAGATAAATCAGCAGTAGGCTTCTCTCATAGAGAACAAGTTCCAAAACATCCATCACAAACAGGTTTGAAGGTTTTCATTTTGATGAAGGAGAAATAAAACATTTTTCTTTTCTCTTTTAGACTTTTCAAAAGGTTTTGGCGGTAAATATGGTACTGATTCCAATGCACAAGATAAATCAGCAGTAGGCTTCTCTCATATAGAAACAGTTCCAAAACATTCATCACAAAAAGGTTACTTATAAAATAACACTTATATTATATATATATATATATATCTCAATTTTAGATTATAATGTTGGTTTTGGTGGTAAATATGGTATTCAAAAAGAAGAACCTAGCCGATTGGCAGCTTCAACAACACCACCTTCTGGTAAAGCAATTATCTTCTAATAAAATTTTGTACGTATGTTTCATTCATGTTTTAGAACGACATGTTACTGAAAAACCTGCACAACCGGTTGGTAGTAGTATTGGTGTTGGTAATATTCGAGCAAGGTAGAATCTTATAATAATATTTTTATTTAAAAACATTTAAAGAATATTTTATAATAGATTTGAAAATATGAAAAAAGAACAAGAAGAAGAAGCTGCCAAACGTGTTGCTGAAGAAAGAAATAAACGAGCTGTTACTGATCAACACTCACAACAAAGACAACAATCAACTAGTAATGGTCATGATAAAGTTAAACAGCAAGAAATACCATCAACAACATTCAATCAACCAATTCGTGAACCATCTCCACCACCTGCTCCTCAACCTCAAACACCATCATTACCAGTATCCAGTTCAACAATATATGAAAATCTTAGTAATCATTTTGAAACACAACGATCAACAACATATGAAGAGAAACAAGAAGAACCAACTAGATTTGTCAGTGGTGTTAATGTATCATCATTATTACGGCAAAGAAAGACTTCATCTTCATCATCGAAAAATGATGATGATGAATGGGCTGATCATAGTGAATCACATAATCAACAGCAATTATTTAGAAGAAGTCCATCACCAATACCAGCTACTCAATCACAACAACCATCAAATAATAATAATGAAGGTGTCAAATGTATTGCTCGTTATAGTTACCAAAAAAGTAAATAAATTAATATTTGTTTTTTGTTTTCGTACAATACTTATTCGAAAATGTTTCTGTTTAGCTGAAGATGATGAATTAGGTTTTGAAGAAAGTGAAATTATTACAAATGTTCAAAAGGTAAGAAAACATTGCATTGATTTTTTCATTTGATAAAAATGAAAAATTTATGTTTGTATCTAGATGCATGATGAATGGTGGTTTGGTAAAATTGGTCAGAGATCAGGTTTATTTCCAGCTAATTATGTTGAAGAAATAAATTGATGATAAACTGAGCGAAAACTTTCTTCTTTTTCTATTATTAATTTTCTTATATAATTAACAATGTGTATACAATTACTGCTATTCTAAAATAACGTCCATTGATTTAATTTTCCATCTGCGTCATTTAAACCATCATTGTGAACTGCTCATTTTTATTAAACATTTATATCTGCTTATCGTGTATAGTGTTCGATCGATGTTCTTTTTATTCGTATCAATAAACATACAGCGGTGCTTTCTTTTTCTTCATACAACCTGATGACTTATTAATCGTAGAATAAAACGAATACAATCTAGAATTTTTTCATTTCTTTAGTTTATAAGTTAATTACGATGAAAAAAAGATTGAATTGATAATGAAATAGGTCAGAATGTTTCCAAAGGACTGATATGTCCGTGATAGATCAAAGTAAGTTGGGAAAGAAGTTTCGAAGCAGATATCTTAAATTCAATCCATTTTTATAGTAATCGCACAAAAGTCATTAGTACCGTGGCTAAGACTGCCATAGTCGGTGGTGGTGGAAAACCAGGTCTAAATTTCTATCATTGTACTTCAACATTTCTTTCGGATTGTGTTTCACAAAAGAAAACTAGTCGATGTTAAATGAATACAGAAACAAGATATTTTTCAATTTTACATAGCAATGAAATTCTTGTGTTTCTGCATAATAAATCAATCTAAACTATTATACATTTCTGACGACAGAACTACCTGAATTGATACATGCCATTTTAGTTCATGTTGAATTCACAATAAGATTCTCAGTAAGACTCGAAACATCCTAAAAGGATTGGTTTCCATGAGCCTTTGAAGCCAAGTTGGTGATCTTTTTAGTGAACTTTCGATCTCGTTTTCGGTATTTATCGAAAAATCAAATAACGGTATTTCGATTTGAACTTGTACCTATAAACAGATCGAATGATTAGTAGAATATCCTGTAAGTTTTAGTCAAAATGAATGCTCCTTTGTTTAGATACTAAATTTTCAAGTAAACTGGTTTTTTGTGGTGAACGACCATATTATGGAAGTTTAATATCTTGACAAAGGAACATTCTCTTTGACTGACACTTTCAAGATATTCTACTAGTTATTCAGCCTGTTTATAGGTAAAATTTCACATCCTAATACCGCTATTTGATTGTTTTTGGTAAATATCTAGAGCTAGATCGAAAATTCTCAAAATCGACTATATTCTTGACTGTAGAGGCTCATAGGCACGGCCCCTTTTGGGACTTTTCTAATTTTACTGAGATCAGACGACAAATATCAGCTCTGGTAGTTCTCTTGTGAGTAGATCATCTCCTTTAAACTAGATAATCAAATTTTAAATAAAACATCTAACAAAAGTATATGTGTATTTCCATATGTAGGTTTACAATCAACATGTGTTTAATTAATTTAATATAACTTCGAACGAGTTAGAATCGTTCAAGTTTTCTGTGATATACTTTTTAGGCATGTTGCCGCCCTCCTCTACTTCATTATGTAACTGCTACAATGATCAATAAATCGAAACAAAAAATAAACAATAGACATATCTATAAATAACCAAAAATATATTTGACAATAGTCAAATTCACTGAAATCTGAAGTTAAAAAAATTGGAACCTCCACTATAGCTTCTAACAATTACTTGAATTTATTTTTTTGATTTCAAATTACTCATCAAATGTTCTTTCACATAATTGAATTAGAGATCCGCGAAGCAACTGAAAAACTGTCTTGCCTCACCCAGGACCTAGCATAAAAACGGATGTTTTTTTGACGACATTTTTCCAACTACATATAACAATTACTATCTCTTGTATTTCATAAGAGCAAATAAAGAACATTTAATACACACATAAATAGCTTCAAAAACCAAAATACAAAAATGTATCATAAAATCAAAATGATTAATTACCATTTATTTTTTTTTAGTGAACGTATAAATAATATCTTCTTTATTGATTACGGATTGAATCGAGTATGTCTGAAGTTGATCATCAAACCACCAGCACTAAACTGGCGTCCGATGTCAGCTGTAGTTGTTGAAATTGATTGAAGCGTTTGAGCAAGTTTTTTATAAGACAGGATAAATGAATTGTTAAATGTCACACCGTCTCATACTTACCTCGCTTTCGAAAAACCTTGTCTCATTTCGCGGTGTACCTCGGTGAGTTGAGCACATCTGATTTGAATAATGTTATCATTTGTACCTTTTCATTCATCGTTTCAGCTCAATGAACAATATCCATTGTCATTGAATTTAGCAATATAAATTCCTGTAAAATCAAAGATTTGCTCGTAAAAATTGTAACACAAATGAGAGTTCACAGAATATGTTTGTTTATTATTGTTCGAATCGATAAAAAAAAGTAAAAAAGAGTACATAGCTCTACAGTTCAAAATATTAATAAGTTCTTATTTTATTTTTACTTTCATAGCTCTTTTCAGTGTTCTGCATTTATATTTTGTGTATAAACTAGGAATGAATCACTTCATCGATTAGGATATCATATTTATTGATTTGATCTGTTCGATCAAAAACATAATATTGTAATTCTTTGCACTAGAATTGTGAATTTGACTGAGATTATGCCATCTTTAAGCGATCTAACCCTTGCTCTCAATAAACAATCATCATTATTGGTTGATTTACTTCCGTGACAGATCTCGAGAGAGGCACTGGTACCAGTCGCTCCTGCCTGTTATGATACGTTTCGGTTTTTCTTGCAACAGAAAGTGCCCAAAAATGAGTCGGTACGACCTCTACTGGATTTCAAAACATGTTTTGGGAGCATAATTGTCCTCCTTGCCAAAATCCTAGATACACCTCTATTCCTTTCTCGATACACTCGATTACATATTATTGAAATGAGTTTCTGCACCTAGTAATCACCATTTGATGAAGTCAGTCTCGAATAAAAATTTGCAGATCTTCTATAGACAACTGAACTTTTCTTTTTGTAAACGTTATTACTTCTAGCAAATGTTTCATTCATTGTTTTTGACAGTAGTGCTTTAAAAATGTTTCTGAAATTAAATACTACTCTAATTCTCGGCACAATGACAATTCATTAAGCATCCTATCGACAGATGTTTTAGGTTTATTGTACGTTCGATCGAGTAGCTATTGAACATCAGCATCAGTTTTGGGATCGAAATTACTATGAAATTTTTCACCGTCAAAAACAATACTTTGGGTATGAACCTCAAAGAATTTGAATTTTTTTTCTGATCAATATTTAATACAAATCATTTATACCATCTATATCAGTAGATTCGAGTTACGATCATTTAATATTGTTCATATTATTCGATTATCATCAATTTTTAACAAATAAATTCATACAAACAAAAAAAAAATTAAAAAAAATTGAGGGATATCATGTTGAACAGAACTCATAAAAGTCAAAATACAAAAATAAGAATCTCACGTGATGGTTGATTTCTATACAAACTTTTTTCTCTTAACAAAAACAAAAAAAGAAAAATAGTAATTTAAACAAGCCATAGTATAAGCGTATGGCACATATAAGCATCATTTGAAATAAACTTTTAAACAGATATGTACAAGTGTCATCAAATAAAAAAAAAATAGTGGACGGAATGAAAACCGAAATTATGATGTGCCAAAACAAATATGAAATGGTTAGCTTTTAGGAGAATCAGCTTTTTTTTCAAATAAAAGTTTCATTTTCATTGATTTATATACATTCACATATAAGAAGAATATTCATTCAATTTCTATTAATTAACGGATAGAGAGAAAAAAAGAATTTCATTATTTAATACTCAGATGAATGCATAGCAGGTATTGTATTAAAGTATGACATTGAACTATTTGTCTCACATCTTGTCATTTCATATTCTGATGGATAATAATGTACTTCATTGATTTTCATTTTATATTCTGATCATGAATTGCACAAATCACTATTATTTCAAATATTTAGCAATGCCGTCAAGGTAATTATTGGAAGAGTTAGTTATACCTGGAATAGAATTTAAAAAAGAAAATTTATACATGTCATTATGATTACTGTTCATTATGGTTGTTGGATAAATCGAATGAGACTCTTGTTCATGTCAATAAATCACTTGTTGAGATAAATAATAATTTGAGATATTCATATATGATCTATATTTGTCAATGATGTTTGTATGTTATTGTTATTAATAGATGAAGAATTTTGTTGATTAATATTATTTTCAATTTTTATTCATTTAGAATCACATTTATTACGTTTTGTATTTAAAGAAAAATTTCTTGTATGAGTTAAATTAAATGAAGATGTAGAAGATAATTTTTCATCTGAAATTAATAAAACAAAAGTTTATTTTTAAATAAAATAAAATATACCAACATATTGTTCGTTATTATCGATTAATTATTCTTATTATTGACAACAATAGTATTTGATTGTCCAATAATTTCTATACTCAGTATACCGAGTTCAATGAGACGTACATTGCCTTCAATAGCAAGTAAACGTAGTCGATCAGCTGCCTCTTTTGGAATATCAAATGTAACTTTTATACTATTCCATGGTTGTATTTTTTTTAAAGCAAATCTTCTTCGACCTAAATTATTATATATTATGACGCTATTTTATCGTTTAAAACAATACCTATATGAAGTATTTGTCTTAGTTTATTTCTAATTTCATATAGTTTGTCTTTTAATTTTGGGTCAAGATAATCGGTTTTGCATACAAGTCGGATTTCGACAATATCTTTTCGTGACATAATTATTTAGCATTGCTATACAAGAAAAATAAAAATAAGCATTAGAACAATTTAGAAACACAGATTTGATAGTTGATATACCTTACACTACAGGAAATACTTGTACATTGATTCAGAACGATAAATAATAAAAGTGTATTATTTGCTTTCTTTTATTTTTAATTATATTTTTTAATTAGTTAATGATAATTGCTTCATGAGAGAAAAATGACAGTGAATAACTAATGATTGGTGAACGTGAATAACCAGTCGGCAAGATAAATAAGGATACTAAAAAAATCTAAACGAATTGATATGGATTATAAGTCACGAGTTCTCTATAAATTATTAGATTCTGAGAAGTTGTTTGTCTTTTTTGACGTTTTATATAACAAATGTTTTAGAGAAAATGTATTTTCAATTTTATTCTGACTAGTAATACACAGAGTTTTATATTAAATCTTTATTGAAATCAATTTCTGCTATAGATGTCGTTTTATGAGGCGACGCCTTTCTTTTTTTGGCATATATGCTCTCTGCATATGTTTATTCATTATGATTATCAATTAATATGTAGGAACTAAGGGAATGAATTCGCTCATAGAATCCAATCGGTACAATGTTAACCACAATACATTTATCTTCACTTTGGTGAAGAAGCTTACTAAATAACTCCATTTAATTCATATTTGGTTGATCGACTTTCTGTCGGCTCAGTAGCGAATATACAAAGTCATGGTTTAGGTTCCATGTGCCCTTTTATTATATATCTAATGCATGATTCCCATGTAAAAGTCGAAGTAAAGTCTAGATCTCCATGATGTTTGGCTTGCTGTACTAAATGAAGATGACTGTGTAGACTATACAAAACGATCGATACATTGTAGATAAGTGGAGTTGATTGACAATAGAAATCGAGTAACTTCTCAGGTAGAGAAGTTTTGGTTTGAAGACCAACATATCGACGGTAAATCGCTGATGATGCGATGAAAGTAGCAGATTATGGAAGAAAGGGAGTCCAATGTAAAATATGAAAAGACGACCATGTTTCGCTTTCCAGCGGTATACTTTCGAGATGAAGAAGTTGAAATCAACGCTCATGCTGTCAGATAATGGTTATTTTCATAATCGATTATTAATAATTGAGAGATTATTCTTAGTTAGAGTTAATTACTACCGTCGTAAAAGCATCAGAACGTGACTTAAGCAGACTAGATGCATATAATCGTAGAGAAGGCACGTTGAACACTGGAGAATTAAGGATAAGTAAGATGCACAAGACCACGAATTATCGATCAACATAGAACAGCCAGTATAATCAATCTCCATCGATGATTGTTGAGCAGCGTGGATGAATTCATTGTTTGTTTGGAGTTTTGTGTTGTTTCGATCGTAAGGATCGAGCATATCGTCATAGGCAACATCATAATAGCCTAGTAAAAAGTAGAATTCTCAGAAAATCAGTCGAATGACTGATAGAAAGAAACGGTACGTAAACAAGCTGAACCAAAGCAAACAAAATCAGATAACTTACGTGAAGAGAGACATGATGTGCACGCAAACTTTTCATTGAAATTGCTTGTTTTTTTTTGGTAAGAATGCTTTAGCTGGCAGATCAGTCATAAAGCCATGCACACGAACGACAAAATGAAACTCATCTTCACCTTTATACATAGTTATGTTATGTTTTATGAGATTACGGATATTGCACTGATGATCTCTCAATGGCAACAGAATCTAAATTATCGAGCTCAATAAAGGCCATAGGCTTTGATTTGAACTACGAACAAGCGGCAGAGTACCATCGACATCTAACAAGAGGCAACAAATTATTTTGATATGCTTTCATCTAAAAATGATTTCTCTCTTACTTTTCTTGTCTTTTGTTTTGCCTATAATGTTTGAAATTCATGATATCGTTACACGGAGTTAATCTGGCGTGTTTATAAAGCGGATGGGAGTGTGCTTGATAATGGTATGCGGAGCGAAACGAATGTCCATTGTTACAATCTCGTACTATCGTGTATTTACCGATTTTCTGGAAGGATTATCACAGACTAGATTCGAACATTGTTTGATGCCTGATCTCAGAGCGATTGTATCGCTTCTGCAATGCAGACAAACGCATTTCGTCGAGTAAGAGTTGAATTGACCAAAGTCACGTAGAACAGACTTGTGGAAGGTCCATAGTCGATTCGGTTCAGATAGAACAAACTTGTCAAAATTGAGGAAACGAATCGTTTGGAGTTTGCCAAGATTAGCGTCGATTGTAAATTCTCTGAGTGAGATTGTGCTTATAGCAAACGAGTGAGAATCATTGATAAATAGAACAGGTGGTTTGATAACACTGAAACTCTTTGCACCGAACTAAAATAATGAAAATGAGCAATTAAATAAAATATTTTGATTCTCTTGTTCATACCGTAGAATCGGCCGATCCGAACTGATCTTGATTTTTTTTTCGTTAGACCTCTTCTACTAACATGAAAACGAATATTAGGATATTGCAGTTGGTTCCAATAGAATTCAGGCGTGGTTATCACAAGAAAGGTGGACGATAATTATTGAAATGATCGAGGAGATACTCCACTAAAGAAAGCACAAGAAATGTGAATTACGACATGCTAAGGACAAATATTATTTGTATCACGAGTTGTTATCCCAGGCTACTCCTTTTTTCATCACTTCTTTTCTTTTTCTAGTTGCGTCGAACCGATCCAGCTCCATGTTACGCTCAATCGGCAAGTACGACTTGATTTAGAGATGTGACACCGTTTCTCCAGGAAATGGAATGTAACCTTTCTGTTTCTAGACCCGAAAGTGACCAACACTGGCAATCTGGAATTCGAACTGGTGTTGGTTTACCCATTGATTGGGTGTACTACAGTGTTCGAAGACGGATGACTGTGACAATTTTTAGATAGAAGAAGAGTTAGCACTCATGGAACTACGCTTTATTGTGTTTCTTCTTATCAAGACTCGCATCATTTACGTACAAAGCACACGCTTATATATGCAATCGTCATAGAGAAGAGAGAAATATGAAAGGAAAGGATAATAAGGACAAAATAGGATAGGGACAAAGTACCACATGATATACAAAGTAAGGACAGAAAGATAAGGACAATACATAAGATCAGAAGAAATAGTACGAAGAGGTCAAACATCATGCATACAATGTACTTAACCGGAAACGTTACAATGACTTGTTTATCGGTGATCAGAACATATGTTCAATCTACTATAGAAGGAAAATGTCTATCACCTTCTTGGAACTCATCGTCATTGTCATGGTTATATTTGTTTGAGAATTTTGTAGAGTAAACCAAGGTGCATCTGTTTCTATTGTTGAAATTCAGAAAGTAGTGCTCGATCGAGAGAAACAGCAATAGCATAATATACGACTATTGGAACGAAAATGTATGTGTAGGTACATATGAGCTTCATTTGATGAACTTTTCTCTGATGAAATCGAAGTTGCGAAAAAATACATTAAAACATATGGAAAAAAACATGGGAGTTTTCTCTAAAATAAGCAATTTATCATGTTTTTAATGATGTCACAGATTTACACCACTACAGAAATTACCTAAGGCTTTTGTGCCACTATTATAGTGCTTTTGTGAAACATGATTTTCAATGTGTTGAAGTATATGATAAGAAAATTGATTCCATATCTCCACTTGATTCAAAGGTCGCGACAAACATACCGATGCTCTTTTAACTTTCTGACAGAGGTTGGGGTATGTTTGTAATGGGTTAGCAGATTTCCGAACACGCTGGTTGATGATCTCTTCAGAGTCTGTCATTTAGATGACGAGATTTTCACAAAATAAAAACAGCGCAAAGTCCGTAATTCAGAGTAGTTTGAGGGTAAGCCAAACCTGTGTTTTCTTTTTTTTCACAGCTATCGATGGCCATAAAATTTCTTATGACTATAAATTCTATATTGATTCTGCACACTGATGAAATGCTCTTCATACATAGAAATTCTACATCAATTGTGGATGTATTTGGCATCTCACAATAAGTTTACTTTGTTATGTCTTTTGTCTTTACAAATGATGTGGTGTAAGTAATACACAATGTAAATAAATATGTAATAAATTACAATGACGAACAGTGATTTCATTCTGTTTCGATAATATAACATGATAGAGAAGTGGCTATATAAAATATATTAAGCATAGTTTAGTGAATATTCACTTAAAAGAAATATTCTTATTCATATTCCTCCATCAAAGTGATCATTGTTACTAGTAAAACTGCTTTGATATGCAAAAACAAGCATGCACTAATTCAAAACAAAATTTATACCGATCGGCAAGGTATCGTCTATTAGATCGGACCGCATCGGATGTTTACCGTTACCGGTTGCATTACTGCTTCTTGCCGCTTGAACACTGAAACTCGCTAAACTGAAAAGCTAAGATGTGGTGAGAAAACTTCAATAAGTTTAAAAGGCGTCGATAACGTCTGCATTCTGATCGATGGCATTAATTTTAGTATGGATAATCGATTTTTCACATAAAGTAGTGTACAAATTTATAGCGTTACCTCAACTAACTAACTTTTTTGATCATTCTCGACCAGTTTTTTCATACTTATGACAAGCAGTATCTGTTGGGTTACATGCAATCAAGTGTACTCCTTCTGAATATGCTATCAGATATTCTTAATGTGACCTTTAATTTTGAGCAAAATAAATGTTAATCAAAACTGGTCGTTTTTGTGTCGGCGCCTAATAAGAGTGCCACTATCGTATTATTCTCAAATTTCTACTACAACGACATTCATTTGTCTCGGAAGTTGCATAATATGTTAGAGATTCTGCGTCTGAATATTTTCATGATAAAGACCAAGCTAAGCATTTGTTCTACCGAAACTAAGCAGGTATCACATGAAACAGTTGAGTTTGTGAAATTTCTATTGGTTTTTAACGGCAAGATCCGAAAACAGCCTTAGCCTTCATTTCGACTCAGATCAAGTCAGTTCTTTCATTCGAAAACAATACTTAGAGA